ATGATTGGCTAACACAATGACCATTTATTGATCGCAAGTGTAGTGAATGTGATCACCATTTGAACATAGGTATATGAATGCAATAATTTATGCTTTTGTTTACACTTTGATTAATCCTAACTCAAAATATTTATAGTTTAGCCTGGATTATTCACATTCTCCGCATGAAAGATTGCACAAATTAAATATCAACTAAAATATTTATATCTACCCATTTAATTAAAACAAATGATAATAAATTGATCAAGAGATAAAATAAGAAGATTCATTGAAATCACAACCAATTTACTTCTGATTCTTCTCAGCAAAGGCGGAACTATAGTGAGCTTAGGGGGGGGCAATTGCCCCCCCCCCCTCAAAAAAAATTTTTTTGCCCCCCCTAAAAAATTCTTGTCCTAACTTGCCCTAAAATATCTTTTTTATTGAAGTAAAAATTAAAAAAAAAAATTAAACGAGAGTAAAAAATTTTTTTGCCCCTCCTTAAATTTTTTTTTGCCTCCCCTAAAAATTTTTTTTGTCCTCTTTTGTCCTAACTTGCCCTAAAATGTTTATATATTTCTTCACATTTAGTTCTAATATTCTCTTTCATGCTTTTAATAACAATTTAATTATACATTTTTCTTGCTTAATTTTTTTAAAAAACTTTTCATAATGTATAGATATATAATATTATTTTTTTAATATTTAATTATTTTTGTGCTGTATTTTTGCCCCCCCTCAAAAATTAAAGCCGTTCCGCCTCTGCTCTCAGTAACATTCATTATTTTGAGTAATAAATGATTTTGATGTAACTAAAATATGGGGGATATTAATCACAATTGAACCATCAAGCTGGCTAATCTAGTTCGATTTTTAAAATCTTACTCTTAAGCCCGCTATTTAAGTTTACCAACTAATGATTAACATCAGATATTGTTTGAGATGATCATAGAGGTGCCTATTGATTTCAAAAAATCTTTTTAATAATTGCTTCGATTCATCATTTGCTTATTTTAATCAGTCCTACTATGCACATTATTTCTCCATAAAGAATCTCTCATGTGATTCTTAAGTAGAAGCAGCTTGGCATGTCAATTCTTCACTTGATCTTATTTTTCATCAATTTGTCTTTGTAATGCAATCCCATTCAAATAGTCTCTTCGTTATATTTATTAGTCTATGACCATACGAAGGAATTTGAATATTTTAGGCCTTCGTGGATGACTTTCTTTCTATTCAAAATAGTTTTCTAGTAATTTTTGTAGTAAAAAATTGCCTTTAAGAAGCAAAAGAAAAGCCTCCCAAAGAAGTCTAAGGTTCGTTTGTGGACGCTTATTACTTGCTTCCTTAAAACAGCTTTTTAGTTAAAAAAATATTTTTTTATAACATTAGAATGCTGCTTTAAGAAAATCAGCACAACAAAAAAAGCCCGCCCAAACGAAACCGAAGACTTCGTTTGGGATACTTTCTTACTACTTTAAGCAAGACTTTTGATAAAAAAAATAATAATTACTAAAAGCTATTTTAAAAAGCAGCAAGAAAGTCATCCCAAACGAAGCGTTAGTAAAGAGGCATTGGCCTTTAATAATGTTGTTGGAGGAAATTAGTGAAATCTTTGGGGTTTGATTCAACTTCTCAATTATAAGTTTTTATGATGGGATGTGATAGTATAGTTAGGTCATGACCAAATTATTCCCACCATCTATAAAGTCATAAAGGAACTTTATTTAGAAATTATTTCTTTCATTGTTTAAATAGTCCGAGATTTTTTTCATTTTGAATTTTCTGTACGAAAAGCTTTTTGAATATTACTCGAGAAATTGAAGATGATTTTTTATTAGAAGTCTTGATTTTATTTTCTTTAAAGGGATTTTTTTTTCATATTTTGTATGAGCAATAGGCTTATCAAGTTTATTATTTTTGTTTAGAATTTCTATAAAATTAATTAGTCAAAATAGTTTTCTCTATGATAGTTTATTTTATGCGGGGAAAGGAAATGTCCTAAATATCATTTATGTAGTGTTTAGGAAGGATTAATGTTATAATTATCATATTAATTTAATAAGATTGTTGCTAACATAATAAAATTAGTTAAGTATTGTGGCAAGAGGAATTTCCTACACCTCATGTTCTAATGCTTTGTACGGGTGAGTTAATATAACAGCTCAAGTTCTTAACTATTGAGATATTGTTCATTCTGGTCTAAGAGTCTCACTATTTTGTCATATGTTAGTGTAACTTCTCCGGAGATCACCCATCCTAAGATTTCTCCGAGATGAGCACACTTAACTGCAGAGTTTCTGAATGAAATATCAACCATTACACCAAAAGACACCTTGATTTTTAAAGAGTTTAACTTATTTTACTTAAGAGGATTCATAGTTAATTGGGACTTTACCTTTTATTGAGATCTGCTCCTCTCACCCTACAAAAATAATATAAAAGAAAATTAGGTAATTAGTTATAAGAGTTAAAATAATATAACAACAATAATGTATTTATCCCTCTACGTGTGGTCGGCTACATGAATATTTTTTCTCCATTGTGTTGAGGATTTATGTCATGATTATTCAAATAGTTTTAAGCTGTTTATCGACAACCTAACACTATCCCCTATTTTTCTTTATCGTACTTGAGATCTAGCAACAACAATGTTAAAAATAATACAAAATTAAAAACAAATCAAGCTTTTCTTTATAACAAGATGCTTATAATATGAAGATTATATATACACTTGAAAAGGAAGTAGTTTCCAAATTTACATTTTGCTCTCCCTAAACTCATAGCAAGAGGAGTCAATTTAATAAATTAATTTACAACTTCTACATCAGGAACTTGCTTTATTAAACTAAGTGATATATTCTCAAAAATTTGTCTTGATCGGGCACGAATCTCGAGGCAAAAGCTAGTTGGAAATTTCAAAAATTAAATTCAGGAGCATATGAACTCCGATTTCAGCGAGCTTATAGTCAAACTAAGCGTCTCGGAAACACGAACCCAATGACACCGAATTCAACCCAATCCGAGCCCAAATGGGTTCGAATCAAGGACCCGAAGGGCTGTTGGAAGGTTCGAATCACAATTTAAGTTACCAAACAGTCTCCGATTTTAACGAGCTTATACTCGAATCGAACGGCTCGACGAGACGAATCCAACGAGCTCAAGATCGCCGAATTCCGACATCACTAAGGCCTTCAAATGTCCAACGAACGGTACAGGAACAAATGGTTCCATATCGGCCGTCCATTCAAACTACTCCCAATTCGCCCCTGATCTCACACCTATTTACAAGCTATGCAACTCTAGAAAAACTATAAATAGAGCCCTCATTCTTCACAAGGGGAGGGGAAGAGAGAGAAGAAAAAGAGAAGAAGAGAAATGGGAAAAGGAGAATCCTCTCCTCCTCGACCACCGACGGAGCTCTTCCCGCCGCCTGAATACGCCGGAACTCTGCCGGATTTTCAGGAAACGGCGGGATTCTGCAAAACTTTGTAAATTTGTTTCAAGTTGTAATCTGATCGTCCCGATTTATGGGACGAATCAGTTTCTTGTAATTTACAAAAACATTGGTGAAACTTTTTAGCTGGGCGTGGCCCCGTGGTTTTTTCCCTCTTCTGGGTTTTCCACGTAAAAATCCTGATGTTCATTTTCTTTTCTGTTTGTGTGCTGAATATTCGTGCAACGCTCGGACGTGAATTTCTAAACTCTACTGCCGCGTATATTCTAGCCCGCAACACTAAGGAATATTCTTTTAAAAGAAACAAAATACTTTTCCTTTAAATGGACGGCTTCTTGGGTCTCATTTAAAAAAAAAATTATACTAAGCTTCATTTGGGAAATAATTGTTTGATACGGTTTTATATATTACAATTGCTTGGGAGCTTGTAACTCAGTCCATATCGGTTGACTAAGATCATCTCCAGCCGAACGACTTATCAGGATTTGTAGCCATTCATTGGCTCCATTGTTCAATTTGAAATAAAAAAATCTCTACAACAAGCCAATGTTCAATTTGCCTCCATTGGCTCATCACTTCAACAATCCCATTCTTTTAGGCATTCTATTGATAAGAAATTTGATAGTTTGTACATTAACCGCCCACCTCCTCCTCTCTATCAAGATCCTTCCTCTTGCGTTGACATCTATGATTTCTTCTCTTACAAATTTCTCTTTTCTTAAATAAATAAAAATTGAGTTTCTTCGTTCTAAAGGATCCAAGGTCAAAAAATGGACCTTTAAAGCAGAGGCACAACACTCCCGATTATCATCATGTCAAAATAGCTTCCTTTCATCTTGAAGGATCTACGACTACTTGGTACCAATGGTTACGTGTGAAAACTCTCTTTGCTTCTTTTCCATCTCTCAATCTTGAGGACAAGGCTATTTTTCATAGCGATAGGATTGTTAAGCAACAAGATATTCTTTTGGATTCAAAGTTAGCACAACAACAATGTCAATAATAGGTGAACAATTCAGAAAATCATCATCAAGATAATAAAATACTTAAGGTCTAGCATAGAAGAAGAAATAAATAAATCTTTCAAAGATTGAGAGCACTACAACAACTGCCCGGCTACAATAACTAGTGGTTTAACTCGGATATCTGTAATCTTTAACAGACAGAAAAAGGATTTGTTTAAGCTTAAAATTCTTACTCATAATCTATCACAAAGTAGGTGCAATTATTTGCGTGAGAATCTTGATTGTTTCCTTTTCACATCTTGTTTCTAAGCTGAGTAAGCTCTTAACTCAACTCTTTTGTCAATAGTTAATGGCACTGAGGTATTATTCACTGAACGTGACTGTTAAAACTCAACAAACCATTGATGTACACTAATAGACATGATGAGAAAAAGTAAATATACACCTCTCTCAGATAACTTACCTTATTGCTTCTTAAAACAACTTTCTAAGAAGTTGTTTTAAGAAGCAGAAAGAAAGCCGTCCCAAATGAAGTCAAAGTAGTTTGACACGGCTTTCTTATTGCTTCTTAAAGCAGCTTTTTATTATTAGAAAGCTGCTTTATGGAGCAGTAAGAAAACAGTCCCAAACAAAATATTAATCAGCAACAAAAAGCTTCAAATCAGAACAATTCTTCTTCTTCTTCTTTCCTCCACCCCTCCTCAATATACTCTCCATATTCCTATCAAGGCTCTGCTTCACCATACACCTAATCTCTCTTTTGCAACTCTTCACATCTCCTTCCTCCATCTCTCCATTCCTCCCATCCTTAAGCCACCCAAGCATACGAATCGCTCTTTCCCTCACCAGCCTGCTTCTCCCTATCAGCCCAACCTCCATTAACATTTCAACAACCCCCACCTCCACCATTCTCCTCCTCTTCTCCACACTCCTTCTCGCAACAACCATCAATAGATAAGCCGCCAGCTCCTGACACTTTGGCTCCTCGTCTCTTGCCATGACAGCCACCAACACTTCGGGGACTAATGAGTCTTCTTCAATGGCTCTCTTTCCTTCTTCGGTGAGTGCAAGGTTTGCTAGAGTTGCGAGGCCGGGTTCTGTCGCTTTGGTTTGGAGGAAGCAGAGGTTGAGTAGGAGGTGCACTGTGCCGGCGGAGATGATGGATTTGGAGTTGTCGAGTTGAGTGGAGAGGTTGTAGAGAGTGGTGGTGGTGGAGGTGAGGGTTGTGGCGTCGGTGGGCGGCGAGGGAGAGCGGAGGAGGGGGAGGAGGAAGGAGAGGATGGGGAGAGAGTTGATGGGGAATTGAGCTTTGGCGAGGGAGGAGATGGAGTGGAGGAGAGGAGTCAGTGACTGTATGGTCGAAAGGTTTGTTTTTGAATGGAGTTGGGGAAGTTTTGTGAGGAGGTCGGAATCTACCATTAGGACTTTGTTCCTGCAAGAAGAGAATTGAAGCTATGTTGTTTAACATAAGGGAAAAATATCACAATAATTCTTCGATTAGTCTCATGAGGGCAAAACATTATATTTTTCTAATTTAGTCCCTCTATTATATAAAATTATTTTCAAATATATAAACATCAATGATTAATTTTAACAAAAATATAAATCAAGCAAAATACTAATGGTTAACAAAATATGAGCAAAGGAGAAGAATTTAGTATGTCTAATATTGGTACAAACAATAGTGATAATTCATGCAAAATATAATCACAAAAATTATGTAAAAATAATCCTGGAATCTCTTCACCACCACATATCGCAATTTGGAGAGATTATTATGTGCGGAGTTTGGACGCAGAGAATCGTTCGAATTTGTTAATGCGTGTAGTAAAAGCCCATATATTGTTCACCATTGCGCTTTACTGTGCTTTTATTGTTTACAGTCACAAAATCAAATGGTTCTATACGTTTGAACTCCCCACGAAATAATCACTCCTCAATTTGGGGATATATTTTTTGTCACATTACTTTTCAGATAAAATCATAATTTCATTTGAAAATTATTTTCTTGGTGTATTCTCACAACATTTTAGAAATTTCTTTGATGGAAAGTTTTCTTTTTTGCAACAAGAATAACTAAGTTATTTTTCTCATAGTAACTTCCTTATCAACTTTATAAACACTTCAGCCGCCTCAAATAGAAAAAAATTATTATGTGCGTAGTATGTGCGTAGTCCGAACCAAAAGTTACATTCAGACACTGCACGTAATAGACCCTAAATTGCATCACATATATCGCATCATAAACATTTTGAGCTAAAGCCAATATAATTCAGTTTACAAACTCTAACAAAAGGTTTTCTAATTTTCTAAAAAAAATTATATATGGTACTTTAATCATATAAATTTAAAAAACTAAAGTCAACATATAAATAACATTAATGGAATGCAGACATCTTTTTTAATATTTATGGTTCGACTTAGGCTTCATTTGGGACGGTTTTTTTATTGATTTCTAAAACGGAGTTTTAGTACAATTTTTTTTATTTTTGTATTGAAACTTCGTTTTAGAAAGCAATAAAAAAGTCGTCCCAAACGAAGCCTTAATATCAAAGTTTAGGTGAATAGTGCTTTATAGGAGAAATGTTCAAATCAATTTAATAAATATCTAATATGAAAAATAAGGCCTTTTATATTCTTAAAGTTGTAAAATAAATTTATCCTCATGTTCTTCATAAATCTACTGCAGAGTAGAAATGGCCAAATCAATCTCATTTATTTCATGAGAGTTTATGTTGAGCACTAAGTTATTTTTTTCAAGCGACGAATTAAATAATAACGGGTGTTAATAAATGACCTGATCTGTCCATATGACTAGGGGTGTCAATTTCGGGTCACGGGTCGGGTTCGGGTCGAACCCGAACTAACCCGGGTGGAAAACGGGTCGACCCTAACCCGACCCGGGTAGAGAAACGGGTCGAAAATCCGAACCCGGACCGACCCGGCGGGTTGTCGGGTTGACCCGACAC